TACCGAAGTCAAATTGGCAAATCAAGAACTTCAAAGAAGAAGGTTTTGCGCACGAACATGCATCACATGCAGTTGTGCAAACGACGAGAAATACCAAGAGCCGCATGTTTGAGGCAATACCAAGTACGGTAGAAAGTGAGATGTAGAGAAGTTATAGAAAGGTTTATCACTTGGCTCTGCTTTATATTTGACTTCGTTATGCTTGTCTTCTTTTTCGACAAAGCAGGCGCAAGCTCTGTGATGGACAATGTTGGGTGTATTCAATCGGACAGCGCTAGCAAATGACACTAATGAGTTTTCCAAGTGTAATCATCACTGTTCATTAATTGTACTTAAAAGTCACCCAAGTTGACTCTTTAAGTTAGCACCAGGGTTGAGCAAGAGGTCAGGCACAAGTCTTTCCAAAACGACCCCCCCCCCCCCAGTGAAAGCCCCTAAACGACCCCTCTGCTTCACCTCCAGGACCTCAGGCTGTGATAATTCGAAGAGATCAGCCGTTTTTGGGAGGTTCTTGTTTTTTGGGGGTCTGTGGTCGACTTTCTGCGATTGCACAGCACACGCAACTTGACGGCAAGTTTTGGATTTTGGATAGCCCTACTTTTAGAGCTACAATTCCCACAGGGGTGTATTGTTTGGCTCCAAATTTGCAGTATTGCAAGAAGAGGCTTTGAGTTCAATACTCATAGCAGAAATGGAGCGATTTTTAGATTTTGAAAACAAGTTAGTTGGGTCAGGCGCAACCCCTCAAAAGCTCAGGCGGCCTGACCTTTTGTGGGGTTGCGCCTGACCCGATTAACTTTATCATTGAAGAAGCTTTTTTATTCAAGTTTTATGTGAATCGCTAGCACAACCCTCGAAGATTCCACAGTAAGTGTTTGGACTTGATTCGACTTGTTTCGGCCTTGTGGTAATCCGTGGAGTTGAAGCAGTCATGGAGAAAAACGCGCCGGTCGGAATTTTGGCATTATTTCTTACTCCACTATTTGCAAGCGATACAAAGCGCGATTTTTAGCCTAGACTGTTAAAGAACAATACTTTGTTACGAGTGCAAAAAAATTGACTTTTCTCACTTTTGAAAACAAGTTAATCATGTTTGAAAATCACGCTTTTTAGTCGTTGAGAAACACTAAATAATGCAGTAAATAATGGCTTGTAGGGCTCATAGAGGTAATTTGACGTGCTCGGAAATGATACCCATGTCACACAGCAAGCTTCCTTGATGAATTTATAATATGTCAAGTTAGAAGATGAAGATTTGAGTTTTGGCCGTAACTTCGATTGTAGAATCAATCAGTATGCTGTTTAAGACCGTTCACTCCTTCAGTACTGGTGAGGTCGCGATATCCACTAAACTAGCGCTTTTCTTCTTCACCTTAATCGTAGTATCTCCTCAATCGAACGAATTCGATTCCTAATCACGACCCCTTCCCTCTGTCTTACCCCAGTACGACCCCCCAGGTCGGGCGCGCCTGACCCCACGCTCAACCCTGGTTAGCACTGAAACCGATTGACTTGTTTTCACATGGAAAGAGTGTCCTAGGGTTTAACGTGTTCATGCTTGCTTCCAACACGGTAATGGCCTGGAAAAAGACTTTTGTTGGGAAAATTTACTTTGAAATCACATATCTTTGAGATGGCCTAGGAAAGGCAAAAACTAGAATTCGGTAGTCTACCCGATGCTGCTATTTGACACAAGAAATTCTAGATTTGTTCACGCTGACCGAAAGGAACTACTCTTTTGACTTTCAGATAAACTTCACTTTCCAGGTCATACAGTGAATCTTCCAAATTTTGAACCATTCTCTTTTTCGACTCACACTAGTACGCAGGAAAAATATTATAGTTTCTGTGTTTTTCGGAGTCTCTGTCTCCACCTCTCGTAGTTCATAAATACTGAGAACAATGGCAGGGATTTGCCGCCAAGAAATTATTGCTATACATCAATTTTTTTTATTAGAGGTAGAGAAACCACAAAGGTAAGACAAATTACCATAAAGGTCTCCTAGGAACGAAACAGCTTAGTGTTTATGTCTCTACTACGAATGAAAAACACGAATTTTCGTACCAGTATTTAGTAATTGCTGTGTTTTGCCACACACGAAGAAACCAAGAAATGAAAAAGTTGTTTATTTGAGATTGAAGCACCTCGTCCCCTCGTGTGTAACTTGAGATTGCAGTGGCGATCCAATAAACTTTTTTTTCAAAAAATTCCACGAATAAACGAACGGTTCACGGCGCGAAAAATTTTAAACTGCTTTTGAAAATTTTCAAAAAAAAAACTCAAAAACTTGTAGAAGTGTTGAAAGCAAGTGCCCTCCACAGATCTATAGTACAGGCCATTTTCAAAAATTTCGACCCCTTCTCGGTGAAAGGGGGCTTTCGGATTGCTGGAGTCTTGCTATTAGTACTGCACTTGCTCTTCAAATGGAACATCACATGATTAATTAGCATTGAATTCTGAATAATTGCATAAACTCATACAGAACCTTGTCAAAATGAACAGGTGCACGCTTCTGCCCGTTTCCTGGAGATTTTTTTCATTAGAGGTAGGTAAACCACAAAGGTTAGGACAGGTCAACAACCCAATTCGCCAAAAGTCTCAAGCTTCGTGTGGCGAAATGTGAGGCGCATTTCGATATAGGAGGTTTAGTTACGCAATTTGTCTTACTGGTCTTCAATTCCTACTACTACTAACCTATCAGATGCCACTCTCCTCATGAGATAAGATTGTAAAGGTAGCAAACAAGTATCTTATCTAACCAGGGCTCGACACGAGATGGCTTTCCGAGAATGAAAAAATGAAGTTCCTCTTAGACTTTGCGAAATTTTTACAAATCTTTTGACTCTAATCCCTAAACGTAGAAAAATCCTTAAAAAACGAAACGTCGACTAAAAAAAAGTTGCAATCTTTGTTTTTTGGGCCACAAAAACGATATCCCCTTTGTTTTTTCCCCCAAAAACGCTATCCAGCTTGCCCCGTGCCAGCTACTGCCAGGCCCCGCGGGTAACATCCCGTAGGGATGGCTTCAGCTTGCAAATACAGCAGAAAGCAAATCACACGTTTTTCTTTTTGTGTTAACACGGTAGGAAATTCCAGCATTTAGAACAATTGATAAATAAGACATCCAAAGAATTTCCTCAAAAAGAAAGATCTGAAATGTGTGTAACAGAGTTTTAAGTATGCTGATTTTACTACGAACGAGCTACCATGCTTTTCAAATGTGCAGTCACATTTCTGAAAAGCGTTGAAAAACTCTGTTGCGGTGTGCCTGGCATAAGTTGTAAAAAAGCATTACGGATGAGTGCAAAATCTATATAGTGTGTTTTTAGAAGTCTAAGATGAGACTTTCGGCCTTTTTGATTCTCTTTCCTGGAAAACAGCTCTTGATGTCTCCAAACGCTCTTCATTTTTTCCAAGGTAATTTTCAGCCGTAAAAGCGATCGGTAAATCGCATACTGTAAGGCTAAATTGAGATCAGCCCGCCCAAAGAAAGATCTACATACTGTTGGGACCCCTGTATATCAGGGGTCCCAACAGTATGTATACCTGTATAATCCACAACTCTCAGTGGGAATATATAAATTTCTTTGATGTTCGATCTCTTCACAGCCGTCTCAGAAGTACTCTTTTAGGTTTTTAATTCTCTTCACTTCACCCCTAAACCGTTTTTTCATCGAAGTGTAACATAAAAAACTCCATTTCTGATACTTACATGAAACAATTCATTCTTACGAGAGGCGGAGTTTCGGTTGAACTGGGGCTCCCACACGCGATGCATATCATTGTGCTGGTCTTGAGTTGCCAAATTGAGACTAACTGCTCTCAGCAAACTCAAATGAGAAAACTTTTTTACACTTTTCCCATTACCAAGCAAAGAAAAGAATGAGATAGTCCGACTATGAGAAAAAACTCAGCTGTAAATATCCATATAAATCCTGGTAAAAACTCTCGACAAAAGATTCCTCTTTTACTCGGTTTTGTTACACAAATGATGCACATGTTCAGATGTTAAGAGTGTAGGTACAACATTTGTTTGGAGCCGGTACAGAATGCTGTAACAATCAAACTCATACGCACACGTTTTTTGATTTTTTTTTGTGTTTTGTTGCACCTTCGTGTGTATTTACAAATAAACAGATAATTTATGGATTTTTCGTCTTTTATATGTAATGGTGAATGTCTGTCCGTTATTCTGGCTGGCTGCTGGTTCGCTGTCTCTGCATATCTATGTGTGTGTCTGTAGGTTTACTGATTAATCTATCCAGACCAAACTTTGCGCACATACACATCAGTGCGAGTGTCGTAGGCTACCCTTTAATCTATCAATAATGATTTTTCGATTTTTGCAAACTATCTACGCGGCTAAGAGATGGCCAGATTTGTAAGAAGCACACTGACTAGCAATACACAATCAGTTTTCAAAATTAATTATTGGGGATAAGCATGCAGCTCAAGACTATAGTAACCGTTGGTGAATACACATCCAATACTTTTAGTTTTATCGATTTTGTGCAAAGTTTGCGATTTGAGGCTGAATTTAGCACAAGGGTGTAAGCGATGCTTCCAATACACATGGAATATAGGGCTAAAGACCCTCAAGCCAATAATGGTCACCTTTGCATCTAAATTTACTTCGATTGAACTGAATTAGCATTTGCAGTGTTTTCTACAATGTGTGAGACTGTAGCCATGTTCAAGTTTTTTTTCTCATGTATGGAGTGTTAGCGAGCTGTTTGATTCTTGCTGTTTTAGCGAACGAATTAGCTTTATAAAGAAATCTAGACTGTGCTTATACGTCATTTGTAAAGACAGAGCAGAGAAAGCGAAAACCCAGTTTTTTTTCTGAAATTTGCAGTATGCTTGACTTATCGTACTCAACGTTTTCCTTCTGCAGCATGACTATACATTCAATTTCCAAAACAACAAGCGAGTTTATTTCACAGTCAAGCTGCAGAAAATAATTCAAGCTTAGGTGGCATGCATGTAGATTTCTTCTTTCTTAAAAATTCACAAACTTCTGGCACGTCGGATCTACATCATCGCGGAGAAGGCTATAGGCAACGACGATTGGGTCCTCTTTGTATGAAGTGTTCCCAGCTTCCAGCATTTCGCATGTGCCAGAGCCTATCTGTAACGTGGTAACCGAAGTACGTTCACTTATAATCATCCGTCTTCAGAAGACACATTTCTTCTGGGGGAAAACAGACTGACTATTTGCCGAGCAGATGACACAATTGGGCAGGCTATAAGTGAATCGAAGCTACACATATAGCCACCTATGCGAGTTTAGATTGCAAAAGCACTCTTCTGTATCAGCAATCTTGGTTTTGTTGATATGGGTGTGTAAACAATTGAACATATTAGAATTTCTCACGAATTGGCTATATACAGAGTATCCCAAAAAATTTGCACCGTTTGTAGGTAATCTTGCTTTAGGCACCGTCTACTCAAAATAGGGGTTGGCGAGATTACGATGGCATACTAGTCTGAGCCCCCACACTAGGTAAACCCCCAAGTTGCGCTGCAAGAGACTGCTTCCGGAGTGAGATTTCCACTCCGGAAGTAGCAAAGTGGGCGGAGCGACCATGGTCACCCCGCCCACTTGCATGCTTTACCTCGCCGGTGCATGTTGCAGGGGCTTTTCAAAACTGGGATTTTTGGAGGTTTCGCGGATCTTCGACTCCATATTCGTAATCAGGGCCTTCAAAAGGCCTCAAATAGACAGAAATATGGAAGTCGAGAATTTGGGTGGACGGTGCCTTTAAGGTAACATTCTGTAAAGCGGGGCTGTTAGATTTATAGCATGGAACGAATCACCAATCCTCCTCATTACCGTAGAATTACGATATGCGCTTTCAACATACAGCGTTACTGTGGAGTAAGGCTTTCTTTATAAATTGATTCCAAAAATCTGAAAATTTGTGCAGCAAGGTTTTCGGGCGTGCAGTGCACAGTGGAAAAGCAGTTGCTATCCTAGACCCAGAATAACTCTTGAAAGGAGCACTACAATGAAGTGCAAACTTCATAATTAGAATCAGCGACTTCGATTAGCCTAGCACAAGAGTTTTTGGCTTCTTTGGCTTTCTTTCTGAAGCAAAATACAGCTTTCAATGGCCTAGAATCTTTCTCGATGTCCTACCGTAATCCCACAGTGATGAAGAGCGATTAATTATTCGCTCCGTGCTGCAGATCTAAGTTGAATTTTGCTCTACAGAATAGTGGGTCAACCTCGGCGAAAGCCTTGGAAGCAAGAGAGTTGTTGACGATCAAACAGTGTGCACAACTTTTTGGGACACCATGCACACTGAGAGCAAGCATTTGTGACACCCAACTACCAACTGGTTAAACTGTTTTCTGGGTGTTTATTTTCGCAGTCAACCTGTCGTAAAAGTGTTCAAGCGCGGATGGCACAAGCCCTGTTTTTGGGACCTTGAGCCAATTTCAGCGAGCGTAAATAATGGCAAATAATCAAGATCCCTGCAATACTGATCGAATGAAAGTGTCTTACACTCTGGTGCCTTATTCCGATGCATCTCACGTCCTCATAGCACGCAGCAAAGCAATCGTTGATGTTTCCACTTAAATGGGTAATCCATTTGCCTTTTACTTCCTCCACTCTGTCGAAAACACAGGACGACGTCCATCCTGCCTAAAAGAAAAAAACTTGGTTAATATCTGTAGTCGAAATCAAAGGTATTTTTGCAACTTTAATATGACCTGAGTGAGTAGTAGAATGAGAACAGTCCACTTCATTGCGATGGGAAGTGAGTGTTTCTGAAAATTTTTCAACGCTCTACCTCTCGCAGTTCATAAATATTGAAAACAATGGCAGGGATTTGTCGCCAAGAAATTTACGCCAAATTACCAAAAAGGTCTCCTAGAAACGAACCATGCTTAGTGGTTATGTCTCTACTACGAATGGAAAACACGAATTTCGAACCAGTATTTAATAGTTGCGGTGTTTTGCCACATACGAAGAAATCAAGGAATGTAAAAGTTGTTTATTTGAGATTGAAGGAAAGCACCTCGTGTATAACTTGAGATTGCAGTGGCGGTCCAATAAACTTTTTTTTCAAAAAAAAAATTACGAATAAACGAATGGTTGGTACGACGGTTGGTGAAAATTTAAACTGCTTCGACAACTTTTGAAATGAAAAGACAAGTTGTAGAAGTACTAAGAGCGAGTGTCTTGCACAGATCTATAGTACAGGAACAGGTGCTCGTTTCTGCAGGTTTCCTGGAGTATTTTTAATTAGAGGTAGATAAAACACGAAGGTAAGACAGGTCAACCAAATTGCCAGAAGTTTCAAGCTTCGTGATTGTGATGCACAACTGGAAGTGAGAGGGAACGTAATCTCTAGTTACACAATTTTTTTATGATCACATCAATTTTTACAGACACATTTAACCTATCAAATGAAAATCTCCTCTCATAAGATGAAGGTGTAAAGGTACAGTGACGATTTCATGGGGAGCCAAAGAGCATCTTATCTAACGAGCAAAGGATCACAAATTGCAGTGGCAAACTTTAGTAAAATGTACATCGTCAAATGCTTGTTGAGCTGGTTCCAAATTTACGGTTATCTGCTGCTGGATTCTCTGGAAAAGTTATGAGCGCTTCAAATTGTGAATTTATTGTGTCTTTATGCTTGATGTGTACTGGAATCACCTTGCGAGTGCATGATTTGCAAGGTTTTGGATTGTGCTGATTAGAAGGAGTGTGCAAGTCAAGAAGAAACATAAATGAGCGCTTTGAGCAACTAATTTTTGGAAAGGTGCCGCTAAACATATGACAAATTTGGTCTTTCAAACGCTAATAATTTCTATTATAGAATGCCGCAGCAGATACCGAGAAGATCTGGAATCAGCTCAACAAGACGCATCTGATCATATGCATTTTGTTTCAAATCGCCATTGCAATTTGGGATTTTACCCTCAAGTAAGATAAAGAGTGGATACTCCAAACAAGGCGCTCACGGTCGTTCTCCTCAATATGGCTGCATTAAAAACTTTATCCAATCATTTGATTTGCTATGGTATTAGCTTTGAGCTAAACGGTGCCTGATAATGAGAATATGAAAGCAGAATGGATAAGCTGTGTGACTAAGGCTTGAACCAATTAAGCTGCGTTTTTAACCCTATCTTATAGACATCACTTAACGGCTGAAACTACTAAATGTTTATTTTTATAAAAATGCATTTTCTGTTGGCATTTTTTCATATCGTAACAGATACACTGCAGATTTCCTATGTTCGAATGTTCGGATTGTCAACTGATTTAATCGTTTGCAATCACATCAACTCTGCTATCCTTATGAAGGATCTAAAATTGCTGTGACAGTTGAAAGTCCGTGGTAGGAGTAGTCAACGTTTTCAAAGCGAAGTCACTCAATCATTCAGTTCCACCAAAGAAAAGTTATACTGCCCAAGGGTTGCCACAATCGAAAGAGCTTAGGCTTATTACTGTTGTTTTTATTTTCATGACTAAGTACGCCAACAATCTTGAATCAGTTGACTAACGTAACTCATAAAATCATTTCATACGGCAATAACCGGGGTCGAGCGACAGGTGTGGGAAACCGCCGGATACCTCCCCCCTCCTCCCCGTGAGTGTCTCAAGAAACCAGGGCCCGGCATAGATCGTCTGGAAGCAGGCTGGACTTCGTTTTTGAAGCAAAAAGCAAAGGTATCGTTTTTGACGAATCGGGGCCCAGCACCAAGAATAAGCACCATTTAGTCAAATACAAGCTTTTCGGACAGGTTATCACACGACTGACATGCTCTATCTCGTATCGCGAAAAGTGCGCGCGATTTGAAAGCAAGGCCAAAATCAACAAACAGCTTGTTTACAGCGCACACAGAATCGTATGACACCAAAATTGAACCGTATACTTAGAAAATTATTTGCAGAAGATCTATGTAAAAAGGTTTGAAAACTTATGTGAAGTAATACGTTTTCCAAAATTAGATCGTCTCCAGACGGCCACCAGACGATCTGAGATCGTCTGGAGCATATATTTCTGTCACTTCACATAAGTTCTGAATTTTTCTATCATGGACAGATTCCCGGTCAAAAATCTATCCTTGAGCATGAAGACATTTTCATATCATTGCCTTTCCTTTGTTTTTTGCCTTCATTTCTTCATATATTTTGTAAAATATCGCGCTCCAGTGCCAAACTCTTGTGCATGCGTGGTATTCACTCCAGTTTGGATTTTCAGTCTTATCTTGCGTTTTTTTCTTTCAGACTAGTAAGCAAATAGGTCAAAGGGGACTTCGTAACTTCCGAAAGTCAGGGAGACTTCGTTTCCAGAAACCCTAGAAACCGACTCGTGCCAGGCCCTGCAAGAAACCCCACCATTATCGTCCGCCTACCGTAGGCATGATTTAATGTCCTGTCAAGCATGGAGTAACATACTCGCTATTAGCATGTCAAAAAACCCCTGCGGACAAGTTTTAGTGAGCTCTGAGTCTTACGGGTATTGGACCACTCAAGTGAAATGGTCATATTTATACATGATCAACTATGTTAACGACGACTTACAGGCTTATCAACTGCAGTGTTGGGAGCACCACCACTCCCGCGCGGCCGCTTCACACTCTGCACCTATTTCACGGCATGCTCTCCGATCACTTTCTTTCCCGCCGTGAGCTCGGGAAAGGCGGAGCTTCAATTGAATCGGAATGATTAGAGAGCATCGCAGAAGAGGTGCAGATTCCCGCGCAGGAGCGAAGATGCTGGTGCACCCGACACTACATTTGATAAGCCCTGTAGTCAAAGGCAGTGTCCAAGCAAATCTGGGCATTTGGGTTTTTTGCGTGGAAACGTCGAGAGGGCCCCAACTAAGGCACCGCCCAAGAGGCAGCGCAAATCATTCATTCACGGCTGAGAAATCCATCCTCAAACACCCCGCGGCTGCGCCGTGATCGTAACACCTGGGATGGGTCCCAGAAATCCATGTTAAGATTCAATTCATGTTCCCAGAGCGAACGTAGTGTTAAAGTGAGCGAAGTCGTTTTCGGGTTACGGTCGCGGCGCAGGTGCGGGGTTTTCGGGTACGGATTTCTCAGCCGTGAATGAACAATTTGCGCTGCCTCTTGAGCAGTGCCTTAGGTAGGGACCCCCTCAAGCATTTTACAGGCGGAAAACCCATGCGCCCAGATTTGCCTGGACACTGCCTTCAACGGCACAAAACAAAACCCATAAGAAGAATTCCACGTTAGATGATTTCCGGATCATGAAATTAGAAGCCAGAGAAAATTTTGTTTGTCCAAACTTTCTCCTTTTTTAGCTGTTTTTAACACCACCTAAAAGACGGATCAGGCTTAACTGCTGTGAATACTATACGAGAACTTCGATTAGCTATACACAATTGTATTTATGGAGTAATGTTTGAAGCCAATTAAGGATTGTTTTGTTCAAAACTAGTACTCTATATGCTTCACTTTATGTACATTCAGCAGAATCAGACGTTTTCAAAGCAAATGTTGAACAAGACTTTTTTAACTGTGCCCAGAAACTAAGTTGATAAATCAGATTTGAGGAATTGTAAGTTATGCAAATGAAAAGTAGCGGCAGCGATAAGAAGGTCATCGGAACCGTCTCATTTTCTGTTTTCAAAGACATATAGTTCATTTGGGACCCACGTTTAGATAACCACTAGAAAGGGGTGCAAAAGACAATCGTAGGTTGACGGATTTTCATTTTAAAAAAACGTATACTGTTAGTGTGCAAAAATAGCAGAACAAAGAGTGCAATTTTGTTGACACTAACTTGTCCTTCCCTTTCAGAATTACCTACATACATGCTCAGGCAAGCAATTTTGGAAGCATCATTCACCCTAATTGAGGACATATAGTAGATCCATTATATAACATCAAATTCTCATTATCCCCAAATAGGGCGGATGCTCTGAGATAATCATACCAAAAGCGATATAGCTTGGATTCCTTTTCCTTCATGTTAAAATCTGACGACATTTCCTCTCAAATCGACCTTTTAAAATTAATGAACGTATTAAATGGACAAATGTAGCAACGAAAGAAGAAGGAAAAATTTTCGCACACTGGACTTTCATGATATCGTTTCAATTCAAAAAACATTCAGATTAAAATTTAAACGTAATTTGTGGACACAGGTAGATTTGACTATACTAAAAACCTAATAACATTTTAAAACATTCTTCAATCTGCAGAGACTCTTTCGGATCTTGACCACTTCTCTCAGATCGTCTTTCGTTATACCATCGAACACTTTGACATCGCAGTAGTTGAAGACGTAGTTTTTTCCATCTTTATAAGCTAGAAAGAGATGTTTTGTAAGAAAGTGACATTCATATTTAACAAAAATTTTCAGTTTTGAAGTACCTCCAAGCACAAATGTTCCAATTCTGGGCGCAAATGCGCAGTCAACTTTCGGATTATATGTTTGGAGCATAAAATGATTCCGCTTGAATCCCTGGATAGACTTTTTGCAGTGTTTTAACCCCTGGAAAGCTATGATTTCCTTGCAATTTGGAAGGAAGCCAAAGCAAATCTTCCTACTTTATAAAATCTTCGCAGTCGTACGGTAACGTTCACGCGGCCATATCCCGAAGAAGGCTGAATCCACTTCTTTATCGTCACGTTGGCAACTAAGGAATGAAATTATGATCATCAAATAATCTGACGCGCTATTTAAGCTCCTAAAATCTTGCAGAACCTTATTCCCAATACTGTGATGAGATCTTGGGATGTGTCACGGAGTTATAATG